GAACCAATGTATACCCAAATGGGCGTCGCACCCACCTATCACCTGAACTATACGGTTTAGCAATTACCCTTTTGTCTCTGCCATCAGTCAAGTCAATGACCCGCTCGCTGGGTCGGCCAGACTCAGAGCTGGCTGTTGATGGTAAATAATTGGCACAGATAAACCAACATTAAGCCACATTAAATTATGCACTGAGGGACCCCGCTGGTCGCACAATTGAAGTGCTTCGGAGACAGACAACAGCCAGATGGAAGCGAAATAGGAGCAGCAATAGGAGCAGGCACAAGCGCAACGGCAAAGGCACTAGAGAAGGAGTGTCAGGAGCTGCAGGCGCCTCGCTGGTTGGTTGGGGGTGACGGCAACGGCAACGCAACGCTGCCGAGTAGCAATTAAAATGTCAATTGAAACGCCCCCGGACGGAGACTAGGCAGAAGGCGATATTCAGGCAGCGCTGACAACGGAAATAGCAAACAGCATGGTACACAGGCTGTGTCCGGAATCGGGTATGAACTCGGACTAGGCTCAGGCAACGGCAAAGGCACAGGCACAGACCAAAGGCAAACATTCCATTTTCATTTCTCCCACCTTGGGGGAGCTGCCAGCTCCAAGCTCCACCAGCTACCAGCTGGCATCCAGACTCCATTGTCAACTAATTTAAGCAATGCCCCTGCCAAATGTTTTGAACGGACGCCGTCAAAGTTGCATTGGGCCCCCATGCCTTTCTGGCCAAACGATATCCACTATGAACTTTCGCTTTTGGCACAACAATGGGATCGGGTTAACTTGCAGGCCACCAAAGGAAGTCACACGAGAGTCGAGAGGGGAGCACGGGCACAGCCGGAATGGGGTCAAGTAGTGGGGCATAATGTGTGTGGTGTGTGGAGTAGGCCACGTCTACTTAGAATCTTTCCAGTGTTGGCCAGACAAACAACGAACAATTTGAAGGGTTAAGTCTTTTGCGGTAATGTGGCACCTACCTCAGCCCTCAATTTTCGCCTGGCCTTTCCCCGGGGATAATTAAATTCCGCTTTTAAGTGCAACGGCGACCCCGTTTAGCGGTAAAAATAGTAACTAATGTGCCAACCGAGCCAGTCGTATCCCGTTTTCATGGCTCACTGACTCAGCTTAATTTCATTAAAATCACTAACGACCTAAAAATACCCGAGGGTATCGCTGTGGCCAGGTCAGTCATCCGTTGACTGGTCAAGGGACTTTATTGGGTCCAGCGAGTCCTAAAGGTTGAGCTTGTCATAGGTCAAGCACAACACTGAACTGGACTGGACTGGAAGCCATCGGTCGTCTAGGTGGGAAATCAAATTACATATACGTGGGATTTATTTTCAGCCCTGCACATTTCGAGCTCACAATTAAATTAGAAACTTCGACTGTAGTTGGCAGGAAACTTTGACGGCAACGTCAGAACTCACCGAATGCCGGCGCGGCACCTCTCCCTGATGGCACAACTCTGACGAAATAAACTACGTGACACAATTTCATATGAGTCTCATACGAAAAACAACAGCAGCTGCAGTAACTTTTGCCGGGCCATGTAGCACATAATCCCTGGACATGCAGAGGGTTCAATGAACTCCCATATCCCAATCCCAGGAAGTTCAGAACCTTTTGGGAGTTTCCATTAAGATATTGATACAATCTCTAGCATAAAGGAATCTCTAGTCAACGCTTTGAATATAATAAACCATACTGCCAAGGGCGGCACTCGTAGTTATTAGATATTTTCTATATATATTTTAAAGCATCTAGTTTGGGGCAGGTGGAAGATTATTGAAGATGCTTCATGCAAGGGCAAGGAATGCTGTTTTATTCTTTGTTTCATTGCACATCAGACACAACAGAAGGCTGAGCCAGACTTTTCAATGTTGGTGCGGCTTGTGCAGCTGGTGGCAAACAGTTCAGTGAACCATAAATACATATATGTACATATGTATCAGTTGCTTTGTGGCAGGTGGCACATGGTAGATGGGGCAGACACTCACTTGGCCCCATTCTTCTTTATTTTTTCCAATTCGTTTTCGTAGTCTTAGCTGGGTTTTATTTATTTATATGGCCAAATGTTGTCTTTCGATTCTGTTGTTCTCATTTTCTAGCCGGCAGCCGCTTCCTTGTTTGCCTGCCTAAACCGATGCTCCTGCCGTGCGCCCCGCTGCCACGCTGCACTTGCGCTCATTAAACATTTAGCTACATTGTCTGGCTGGCAGAGGAGTGTGTAGCATCTGAAGGAGCTGCCGGAGCGGAGCGGAGTGGACTCTGGAGGAAACTGCTGCTTAGGCGGCGGGGCTACAGACAAAAGATATGAGGCAAAAGCGCAACGTCAAAAAGGAAATTGTACGCTTAATGGTCATTGCCGGGCCAAATGGAGCTGCCATTGGGTGCAGAAGCGGAGAGCATTTGCCGAGTCGAGTCTCCTTTCGCCTATTGAAATATTTAAAAGGATTTCCTTTTCAGCCCGGTCCAGCCCGGTCCCGTCCGGCACTGTTGGGCCGTTTCGAACGGTCCGGGATTAAGCAAATCAAAAAGTCAGTGGCCCCAGCAGCATCACACTCTCATTTTGAGGCAGCGACATCGACAACTGTGGATACCATACCATACCAGAGCACGGTTCGTTTCTGTTCCAGACTACGGTCCGTTCAGTGTCCATGTCAGCATCGTAGCAGTCGCAGTTGCAGTTGCCGTTGCAGCCTTGTCCGAATGCAATTAAAATGTCAGCGCTGCAGACGTGGGGGCTGCAGGGAAAAATTGCTGGCTAACATGCGATGCCAAAGAGCTCCATTTGGGGGGGCGGCTTGGCACTGTTCTGCTGTGCCCTCGGGACACTCCAAACACGCATTTGCCATTCCAAAAAGCCTGAAGTCTAGGACTCGCAACTGCTCCCGGATACCAGCTGGACTCGCAAACTGGCCGGCGACTAAATGAAGTGTTGAGCGAAAGATCCGACCACGCCCCATACACCACGCCATACACCACCACCAGCACACTTGTGATGTACGTAAATTAATTTACTGTCGGCCATTTATGTTCCACCAACAAAACAAACCTTACAGGCAGAACATCACCGGCACCGTCACCGGCAACGACACCGACAACAGCATCATCGACAACAACAAGAGGCGCTGAATCAGACGAGTTGTTAGTCGCCTTATTGACAGACATAATTTGTAGCCGGCTAAAAAAGTTGCAGCCGCAAAAGTTTTCTAATAAATAACATTTAGCGCCGTCCACGGCAACGGCAACGGCCACGGCAACTCCCATAAAACACACAAAAAGTGAGAGACAAATCCTAATTATCGATTCGACAAGCGGCTGCAGATCCCCCATTGGATTTATGATTGACTTTTTTTTATTTATTAAATATTTACGAGCATATCTGGGGAATTTAATCTATGTATGCCTCCAAACGAGGTCAAAATTGAGTTTAGTCCAACAAATTAAAGCTTTAAAAATACTTTCTAAAATCTATATAATATTTTCCATATATTTGTAGATGTATAGATTCAAGCTCACTCCCTTGCTGACTGTCAGCCCGTGCAACTAGTTATTATCAATGCCGTTATTTAGCTGCCTGCCAGGCGTCCACGCAGCCCTTGGGGAGGGAAGCTAAATATGTGTATGTGTCTCGAATGGCGACCGCAAGTTGCGGATATTATCTGGAGGGTGTCACTTTGTTGGCAACAGATACTTAAGTGCTGTCCAGGCGGGTCTCCTGCCACATTCGCGGCATGCCGAGGCATCGCATGGCCTGGCAGGGCACAGGCTTGTAAGCGGAAGCACGCGACTGCGGCGGAAATTGCTGCACATGCAACGCACGCAGCCAGCCAGCCACTTGGCACCCTGCCACCCACAAATTCCACCTCATACCCTGGCAGCCCCCTTAGCGTCATCGAGATGCCATCAGCAGCATTCCGGGCGAAAATGAGAGGTTTTCTTTTCCCTTTTCCCCCTTTTTTTTTTTTTAACAAATTAAAGTAAAAATTACAATGCCTGGCATGCCATAAATACGAAAGTTTAAGACCTTGACAGCCATGACCAATTGACCCAATTGCTCGGCCATACTTTGCATGTGCTGAGGTGTTTGTGTGGGCGCTGCTGTAGGGCCGAAGGGGCGGGGGCGGGGGAGTCCGAGTGGGTGCCGGTCTTTGAGTGCTGCCCGAAATTGCAGCAGCAGCAGCCATCGTGAGAGTGGCCAAATTGAATTTGAAGCGCAATCCGTAGCAAACCTAAAATAAGGCCAGTCCCAAAGGCCTTAATCGCAGTGCCAACATTGACTTTAAGCGGCATTCCGGTCTGGCCCATGCTGAAAGTCCCACAGAAAGAGAGTACCACGGCTCTCTTAGCCGAAAGTTACTCTTCATTCGTTTTTATCCGGCTCGAAGTCCGTGCTCGTGCTCGGGCCAACGACACGACCTAGGCAATGGCAATGGCAACGGCAACGGCAAACGGCGCGCTTTCCTCGCCTGTCAGTTTGCCGCAGTCAAGCAATGAACAAGCAACGCGCGGTTGCCATAGCCCCGAGAGAATAGCCCCAAAGGATAACGATATCGTGGCCAGAAGTGAACCTCAGTGAGATCTTCCAACGGAACAGCCACAGGCTATACCCACACACGGAATTCATTTACTGTTTTACAACCCGCTCCGAGATAGAGAGTGTGTGCTTTGTATTAAAGTAGTGTGTGCCTAGTGTCCTCTAGTGTGTGTGTTTATGTGTGTGTGTGTGTGTGTGGCATCAACATGACCAGAGCGAGTGCAACCGCTGGCTGGCATTACTTCCGCCATTGTGGCGCCACCTCGGACTCGGTCCACGCAGATTGAGTTTGTGCTAAAGCCGCAAATCCAACGGCTAGTTGCAAATTCACAACGTGCCACTTGCAACGTGCCCCTGCCGCAACTAAAATACTGACACCTACGCTGTTTCCACATCTTTTCACCGCCCACACTCGTACTCAGTTTCGACCCCGTGTCCGTGTCCCGTACCCTTGCCCGTGCCCGTGCCCGTGCCCGTAGTCGTACCCGATCCCGTATCCGTGTTCGCGTCGCGGTTTGTTGAGCTGGCAGCCAAAAATGTCAGTTTAGCTGCCCTATTATCTCCATACACATATCCGGGGCTTTTCTGCATTCTCCGTGCCGTGTCGGTGTATCCGCGGGACATGTCGCTAAACAAAATGCAGCCGCTCCTCGACAGCATCGCTGGCCATGTAAGTGATATCTGTGCAGTGCCATATACATACGTATGGGTTGGATTTTTAGAACTGAATTTCGGTCTAGTCTGGGCTGCTGCACCTGCTACTGCATCAGCGCTCCTGCTGCTGAAGTACTACCACAATAAATTACCTGATAGAATGGCCTCCGGGCTGAGGCTTCTGACATGTTTTTGAATTGAAATGCAGCTGCATCAACTGCAGCCTCGAGATAGGCCAGGCCGTAATTAAATTTCAGACAATTTTATCAGAATTTACGACACACTTGCAGCAGCAGCAGTTGCCACACTACACCGCAGTTGCTGCTGCCACTGCCGTCATACAGCCATAATTCTTCTTCCTACTCCTTTTACACACACCGTGTACCCATTGTACCCGTCGCTACTCTTGGGCTAACCGTGTTCAATAACAACCAAACCATGTCGAAATCGAGCCGCGGGCCATATTTTTTTGTTCGGCCCTCCACTGTGTTCCTTTTTGTGTTGAAAAATTCGAAAAAACTAAAGTCAAACTCCATTAGAACGTACCGAAAGAAGAATGATTTATGTGAGGGTTATGCATCATCATATTTTCAAGGACTCCAAAACGGGTAAAGGATTGTGTGTGTATATAGATAGATAGGTGAGGTTATTGATCTTTTGACAGAGTTTTAAACTAACACAAAACGATGCGGAACATTTCAAGACAGATCCACATAAGTTTGCTGCGGAAGTGCAGTATGAAAATTAAGTTACAAGCTAAAGTTTCTAGGCATATCTCTCTTTAATATGTTACGTACATGCGCGTTTATTTAAAGCAATGTCAAAATAATGCTGAATTTTAATCATGTTCAGATATACCTAAAAGCCAAATAAACTGTTCAATTTCACTTTTTGGCCCCAACTTTAGTTCTAGATAGGAGCACTAAAAAAATAACTCCTATGGGGAAAGAAAATATGAAATGTTTGTATTGGAAAATGGTTTTTAGTTTGTTATCGAATGCAAAATGGGTTTGTGTACTGCAAATCGAAAAAAAAAACAAAAAACAAAAACCATTCATTTTGTAAAAAGGTAATATCGAACCAATAGAAACATTTCGAAGAATTTTAGATTTATTCAAAGATTTGTGCACTGTGTACAGAAAGTGTAAGTACATGCTTCAATTGATGTGGTTCTTATTTCAGGCGTAACATGTACGGGCTATAAATGTAGGTCATTATTTGGCTTGTATCCACCAAAGCGTAATAAATCACTGTTCTCTCGTTGCTCAAATTTAGTGAAATGCAAATAACATGACATTATTAATGATTTAGTTCAAATAAAACAAAAAACAAACGCAGGCACACACACACACACACACACACACACACTTATTGCACATAATAATAAAATATGAAACAAGGCAAATGCGAATCCAGTTTATGCCTTAACGATGACTGCCAGCCAACAGTTAGGAGTGGGGGTAAATATCGAATACCCGGTGTTTTATCAATTGCCATATCGCGTGTTCTGGATAAACACGAAAAAAAAAAACAAAAATAAATAAAATTCAGCAAATGAATGTAACGAAAATGAAATGGCTGCGAGTTGAACAATGAATCCACGTTTCATGTTGCTAGCCGAAGAGCGACCCACAGAGCATACCAAGTGTGTGAGCTGTTTGGACAACAAGGAACTCAATAGCGACACAGACAGACACACACAAAGAATATATTTAGTTTCAAAATGGTATTCTCATGCTCCTATTTTCCTTTCATTTTCTGGCACTGCCATTTTGTTAGTAGCCATTAGCTATTTGTTGTTTGTTGTTTGCTGTTTGCCACTAGCTGTTGTTCCCTGCTAATCGAAGTTTATGTTTTGCATTCATGTACGAATAAGACAGTTTGAATATGCCCCCGAGCCAGATAGCATCTAGGCAAGGCCACACCCACACGCCCGCTTCCAACTATTGTATCCAGCTATCGTCTATTGCCTATCAGCTACCGATCCCACTCCTCTGATGTTGCTACCATGTTCTCATGTTGCGAATGTCAGTTTAATACAAATGAACTGTTTATGTTAATAAATGAGCTCACCGGTTTAAGGGTATACCGGTGGAGCAGGGCCAGGCCACTCAGTAATGTGAGGTACAAGGCGGATGTGGATGGATATGGGCATTGAGTTGGGTGGCAGGCAGGGCTCCCCAAAGGGGGGAGCATTACATCATTAAGGCAACACCTGCTGCGTTGCTGTGTGTGTGTGTGTCAGGAGTCGGTGTTACAGGAGTGTGTGTCAATGTCAAGAGGCGCCTACGCATTTTGGCTCAATGCCACCTTCTCAGCTTGCCTCCCTGCTCGTGCTGCAAGCAAATTACAGCTAATTAACATTTCTAATTTTTTTTTTTTTTTCAATTTATGCCACACACATTGTGCATGATTCCTCTAGGACTACACTCAGCGGAAAATTATTAATATTAAATTTTTGTTTACATTAATTTTAACCTTCAAATTTACACTGAAACTTCACACAGAATGAACCCAATTGAAACTTCAAGCGTTTTACAGATTTAAACTGTCTATAGTTTTTTTGTTCATATTTTATATGCATTTTTTACCATACAAATACAATTGAAATTGCTGTAAAGTTTAACTTGAACAAACAAATTTTGTAACAACTTTTTATAATGCAACAAAAGCAAATGATTACGTGTTAAGGGAGTTTTTTTTTAATAAAATAATGCTCTTAAAGATTTGACAGCTAAAATAATTAATATGTCAATTCAAATTAAATTTGTTTATGTTTCAACTTTGTGTATTTTTTTTTTATTAAGGATTTCACAGAATAAACATTATTAATGTTTTTATTTCATTTGTACTTGTGTTTCTTTGTGTACATATGTATGTATGTACAATGTACATTCGTATTTATGTCTGATACTTGATTCAAACAAAATTGACTGAAATACCTCTGCAGTTTTACTTATACATCAGCCGATTTAGTTTTAATTAAAATTGCAAAAGGCTTTAATTAGACAAATTTGTACGGATTTTTTTGTGGGAATAAAATATTGCATAACTAATAAAATGACGAAGAAAATACTTTACTTTTACTTCTCCCGAATTACCTTAAATCGTGTTTTTTCTCAGTGCAGTCAGCTGTGAGCCGACCGTGAGCGTCTTTGCCGCTCTGTTGGGCGTTTAATAGCCGGAAATCTGTCTATTTCCGCTTGCCGTGGCGTTGATTATACTTAATAGATGACCGACTGTAGGAGCTTTCGCTCTCCCCTTCTCGGACTGCTAATTTTTCTTTTCTCCTGCTGCCATTCAGTTTTCTGCCTGAAACTCGAGTATTAGTCGAGCTGTAATTATGCTCTAATTATACCCCATATGGTTGTGTTTTTGTGTGCGGGGGTTGCTGTTCTTGAGGTGCAAAGAAAAATCTCGGCTCTGATGTAATTACAACCCTACAAGTAAAAAGCTTGGAAGCTCCTAAGGGTCCTAATCCCAGTTGTTTCAGTTACGTACGAGACAGGTGGAACGGCGTAGAGGCCGCCAGATAATGGGCCAATGCAAGGAATGGCATACAGTCGGGTTGATTGGCATTGCATGTGCCTAATTAGGCTGTCAATTGTATGGAATTATGCTAGTTAGCTACAAATAATTTCCTATACAATTATTTAAAGGTTCAATTTATTCAATAATTTGGTAATCTCTGTATTTCTTCTCTTTTCAGGCATATTAATTCCAAGAACTCCAATCACTCCAATCACACGAGATGAATTATTAAAAACAAATCACAAACACACACTACAAAAAAGTGTTTAAATTAAAGGAAACATTTAACTAAAGTAATAACTCTAACGATACATATCAAATCTAGTCTGATTTTATTTTACTAATAAATATAAGAAATAAATCAATTTATTTCATAATCAATTTTATTCATAACAAAGTGCTAAATTTATTAAGAAAGCAAAGGAATCTTCAAGTGAAAATATAATAGAATTTTATCAAAAACCAGAAATATTTTAAATAAAAAGTATCCATCAAAAAGTATTTCGTTTATTAAATTGAGTGTCTCTAGTCACAGTCACTGTAATTGAACGGAAATACAAATCACGCGAGTTTTCCTCTCTAAATAAAGAACACACACATACTCGTGCATACATATATAAATTTACGTTTACCTATGGAGAAAAGTGTGCCCGAGAGTGAGTCCGGAGTTCCGTGCGAGTCGCGGCAAATCGCTTTGTCATGTAATGTCTTTATGCCTCTCGGCGGATCAAGTGCTTAAGCGATAAGCGAAAGCAGCTGCTCGGCTCCGCGTCGTTCTGCTCTGGATTTTATATGCATAAGTGAAAGCACGCATGGCTATGCCCCTGCAATAAGGTGAAGGGAGCCAGGAGGACCAAGACAAGGCCTAAGAATTCTATCGCGCCACACACGACAACGGATTAGCTGCAACGTAAAAAGCGCTCCAAACACAAATAGAAGGAAACAAAAGTAGCAGAACAAAGGCATAGTGAAGCCCAGCAGGAAGCTGGGATTTGGACCCCATCGCATCCATCCTGCCGAGCATGTGGCGCCTGGCGACGGCTCCTGGTATGACGTCAACTGTGTGTGAATGGGCCAGCAATTAAGCTGTTAACGATGCACGCGCTCTCTCAAGCCCCAAAGCAACAGACTGACAGACAGGGCCCCCGATACGGCGACCGGTAACGCGTCCAGGACCACCCAGATAGATATACAGATAGAGACATTTACGAGCATAAGCGAACCCATGAAGAATGCATGCAGCTCCGCTGCGTCCAATGCCGCTGATTAATTCCAAGTAAGTTGATGAGCTTTGCTTTTTTACGCTTCTTTTTAACGATACCACTTTGACGCTTTACGATGGAGTGTGCCACTGGCTCCAGATGGGTGTGGATGGGGAGCCAACAAACGCGTTAATTTCTTGTAATCATCACAGTTTTAAAATGAAGCAAGCATTGAAGAGTGGCTAGGGGCATTTGGGGAATAAGTAGTCCAGGAAGAAACAAATGGAAAATGTCGAAACTTGAGTACACTTGCCGAGTTTATTACATCTAAATATAACTTTATATTTTATGTTTTTTCTCGAAGTTGATAATGGAAAATAATATATGTATTAGTAGTTTCATTATGTTCCAATTAATTAACTATTTATTATTATGTTAAGCTATTTTATTTGATATTATTTATTAAGTAGACTATAGCTTTGTTTCTGTACAAAATTAGAATAGCTCTTTGTACACCATGGGTTGAACTTTGTTGTATTCAAAACCCTTCATTGAAAATTGAACAACCTATTTTAAATTCTTATCCTTTATGCTCTTGCAACCAGCAATCAAACAAATTTTGGCAAAATTTTCCATTTTATTCATGTAATTTCGTTTTAAAATTAGATTACAGACATTTGCCTGTGGGTAGCGTCCAAAATGGGAGCATACTTTTCATCGCTCATCAAAAATGCGAACGAAATTATAAAGAGATAGACCGACGCGTTGAAAGTGGAATGAGTTTTGTTTTTGTTGCTTTTGCTTTTGCTGCTGCTGCTGCTGCTATTATTGTTAGGCCAAGCTTGTGTACTAAAAATACAACATCGAAACATGTAGTAGAGGCAGCCGCAAGGTCTGCTTCTCATAGAAATGTATGGAGGAGAGAGTTTGCCTGGCATTTTGTTTGCCGAAAATTGGACAGCAAAACAAATACACGGAATACTTGAAAGCAAAATCTTGGCAAGACAGCTTCGGAAAGTCATCTAATTCCCTGAATTCAAACACTTTTGCCAAAGCCATAGACTAGCATACACATGCATAAATTCGTAGTTGTTTGTTGGCAGCCTTTGAAAAGTCGGTGAAATAAATGTGAATGGAAGCCCAAGCCCGAGTGATGTGTCTACCAACCAAGAAGCAGAAGCCAGCAGAGCCAGGAGCTCAGCCTAAAACAGGCAATTCATAGGCAGTCGGGCTGCCAGCTTGGCTTCAATGGCGCCCATTCACCGGCTTAAACACACATACACACACGGAAAGTGTGTGGCATCGACATACTCGTATGTGTGTGGATGTGGCATAAATCAAGCCCATGGAGGCCACTCTCGCACAGATACAGACGTGTGGGAGGGGAGCCTTCCAATGCTGCTGCCGATGGCGCTTAAAGGCATTTTCGCAAAAGTTTCCGACTCGAGCATTTCAATCGTCTGTTTTATTGCTCACATATTTTATGCCGTTTATGCTCAAAATTCAGTTCAACTCTCACACATCGCGAGTCTTACACTTACACAGTAAGGAACTTGGCTTCCACCAGTCTCTCTCCCTGTGTCTGTGTGTGTGTGTGTGTGTCTTGTCCTGCGGCGTTGAGCAAGCAGCAACTCTTGCCACGGCTAAGGAAAAACCGCAATGCGGCACATTATGCGCGATGAAATTCCCTCAAGTCCCTTTCAGTCCCAAGCTGAAAAGGGAAAACGCAGCCGCGAAAGAAATGCGCAAATGTTTGCCCCAGCGCCAGTCGTGGGCGTGGCCGTGGTTGGACACGGCTATTTGGTTGCATTCAACTCGTATTCGCAGACTTGCCATGCTTCCGCCACGTCTTTGATAAACCTGGAGTCACTCCGAGTGTTTGGCTTGCGTTTCTGTGTATTTCCGAGTTTTGTTGTTTTGTTGTTTTGCGTCTCTCCGGTTTTAGCCAACCACAAAAAAAAACAAATAATTAATTAATGCTTTTGTGCGTGAAAATGTTGTTTAATTGTGCACCTGCCGGCCGCTGTCTGCGGCTGACGGTGCGGCTAAGTAAATATTAATGTTTGCCTTTGTGCGTTGACATAGCGCATACGCCGCGTGGCTTTAAATTTATGTCTGCCACTGACAGGAGGAACTTTGGGTCGCCTTTTGATTGAAATGTTTGTCAAGTTTATTTGCTCGTGGCGTCTTATAATGATTTGCCACCAGCAGCACCAGTGGCAGCATAAGAACCAACAATCATAAAGCCTGTCACCAATGTACACACTTTTGTGTGTGCTCTGGCCCAGCATGGCCAAAAGATGAGATGAGGATCTCGCCTTTGCATAGGGACCATAGCGACCATGAGACACGATGGTTGGAAGACGCTTCGGCTTCCATTAAGACAAAGACGGGGGGCCACTCGCTCACATATCGATTTTTATTTACTAATGAAAAGTGAACATAAAAAGCAAAAGACACTTAACCCTTTTATTGAATCGGCCACGCAATCTGCAGATGACGTCAGATAGTCGGCACTGCCTGAATGAGCGAGTGACTGGTTCACTGACAGGCCATGCGGAGGCTACGGTTCGGCTCAGTGCCTGCCCAAGAGGCAGAAGCGGTCCTTCCATTGAAATAATTCCTTAAAAACATGGTGCCATACCAGCATAGACAATATTCCGACTTAGGGATATCCTTTACCCAGAAACTATACAAAAATCGATGCATACGAGAATCTTTGTGGTACATCATGACATACAAAAAATCACAGAAGATTGCACGACATATACGAATATATGTATGCGTAATGGCTTTAGGGATTGTGTATGAATATATGTATATACCTTATGGGGATCAGAAACGCTTCCATCGGCCATTAACAAACATTTGCTGGAGCACAACATACCCTTTTACTCAACGAGTATCGGGTATAACAAGACTGCCATGCTGGTTGAATGTGTGTCGCTGTCTGTCTACCTCTCGAAGCGCACACATCACGCCTCTGCCAATGGGTGGCTGTGTGGCTCTGGGGCTGGGTGTTGGGTTGTAGAAGCGTTTAACCCACATAATAATTACTGTACTGAAAGGTTAAAGCGGCCGCAGTGGCCCAGGCATGGGCCTGGGAAATAATGTGAAAAGTTTGAGTCGATAATGGCGGCAAATGTTTAGGGGGTACTGTAACTTGGGTATGAATTGTAAAAATAAAACTTCCTGCTGTCTTGTAATCGGGATTACTAATTGCTCCGATATTTTGCCAACCCTGCGCTGGCGCCTATTCAGTCCCATAATTCCCAAGCAACGCATCGCTGGACTCGAATTCTTTTCCCTCTATTTTTGGTATTTCACATTTGCGATTGAGTGGTGAACAGTGCGCGGTCGGCTGCATGTGCCACTTCCGCTTGATAGCGTCATGGTTCCGGATCCGTATCCGTATCGAGTGGGTAGCGGCGGTGTGCTGGGAACGTGTGGCAATGTGCCCTAAGGAGGTATGGGCTCCGTGTGGCTCCCATTCCAGGGCAGTACACTGCAATGCTGAAATAGAACAGGGTTTGCGTGACATTTGCGCGTTAGTCTCGAAATGCGTTTGTTTTGATGGCCGGGGACAGCAAGGAAATGCCACATTCAGACCCGTTTTGGTAGTTTTTTTTTTGGTTTTTTTGCAAAGGTTTATTAGTTGTTTGTCTGTTTTCCATCTAGGTTGTGGAGAGGGGCAAATGCCAACATTGTATTGTAATCTGCCTGCCCATTAATATCTCACATGAAAATGTTGGCTAACTTTGCATAGCAATTTGTGTAATTTACATACATTTTGTTTAAGTTTTTTAATGTACTTAATTAGGAGGTTGACTCCTGCCTACAAATTAATTATAGCCGAGATTCATCGAGCACATGGGTATATTGTACTCGTTAAAATGTAATATAATAAATTGGTTAGAGTTCTCTGTCCAGATCTACTGGGAATAGTCGGTCTTGTGTCAGAGATCTTCAGTACAAAACCTAAATTCCTTATCCCATTCTTCAGCAGAATCTTAGTTGAATAAGAAGTTTTAGATATTACACGCAGAAGAAAAATCTAAAGTTTGAATATTTACATTAAGACTTAAAAATTATACCAACAAATTTCACTCTGGAATAAAATAAATTACATTTTTACATTTTAAAAGTAATAAAAAATATTTGATTTAAATATATTTCATATTTAAATAAAATATAATAAAATATAAAAATTGAATAGATTATTTATTTATATATATGTATATATTTGCATAAAAATCAATGTAAATTTCACTTATTCACTTTAATTTATTTTATTACCATTAAAAAACCGGATATTAAATTTGAATATGAGTGTAGAGACTAAAAGTCACAGTCTAAAGTATTTTATGCCCTAAGGTTAGATCAAACAACGAATTAGTTATTTTGTAAAGCTACCCCCTGGCGGTTAAGAATAAAAAAACACCCCATTGGATACATAATTTTGAATACATGTACAGTAACCTGATTTTCTTTTCGCCTGTTGAGTTAAGGGAATTCTATAGCGAGAATGCTGACTACGCTCTGCAGACTGCTCTTAAGAGAACTGACCACTTGGACCTGAATTGAAGGCAGCACTTTAATCTCATGATCCCTAGGGGAAAAAACCGTCGGACTATTTCCTGCCTCCGTCCCGGTCCCAGTCTTAGTCCCGGTACAGTGGTTAGCTTTAATGTGAGTGCGAGGGAGTTTTGTGTTTGTCTTGAAAGCAGAAACTGCATTTAGTATGCAAACAAAATGGGAACAAAACTGTCGTTATTTATGCAAACCTAACTTCTGCTCTTTAGAAATTATTATTTCGCTCTTTTCACATTTGCCTTTTTCCCGTGGCTGTTGTTGCCTCGTTGTTTCTCTTGCTGTTGCCAGTTGGTTTGCATTTCCGTCTTTATGTTTGCTCACACACACACGCATCCACACAGACAAGGCAGCACGCACACATACACAGAGCTCACACAAGCGGCACACGGAAGCACAGACGCATAATGAATCGGTCGGAGCAGTTGGCTTGGTTCCTTCCGTCTCGTCTTCTGGCCTCGCATGCTGCATCCTTTGTCCCGAG